GATTAGTATCTACAATAAGATCATTTCACTGTATTAAATATTACAATCTAAAATATTTGAACTAATTAAACTTTACAGTAGAAATCTTAAATTCATAGAATGTTTTAGAAGATTCTAGAAAGTTTCAATTAGTGAAGTACATTTTCCCGTTGCTATGGCCTAGAGAATGAGGAGCCGTAAAAACTTCGATTTAAACTTCCATTCTTTATATTTTTTTTTTCGAAAATATGTATGTAAGTTCTACAGTGAAAATTTCTTGTTAAATAATTATTTTCAAATATAATATTAAAATAAATTCTTACCCAAATATATTCGTTTTTAATGAAACTTGAGTAACATCAATCAATACTCGTGGAAGAATTTGCAATTGCTTATCAAAATAATCTCTTGTTGCTTGATATGTATGTCCTTGACCAGCTTTATAATCATAATAATAAAATCGATGTGGTTTCATTAATTTTTTAGCTAATTTTTCAATATCAAATATTGATTTACATTTTAAATATTCTTTTTTCTATATAAATAATAACAATGAAACAATTATTTAAATGTAAACAAAACAATAAATATACTTGTTCTTCATCTTGCTTTTTCTTTTTTCTTTGTTGAAAATAATTTCGAATAATTACAAAACTTGCTAATGTTGTAGCAAATGATAAGAAAATATATAATTGATTATCTGAAAAATCACAAATTAAATTTAGTATTTCAAAATAGTATCTTTATCAATATATATTTACTTGTCATTGATATTATAGCTTTGAAAGTATTGTTAATTCAATGCTGAAATCTTCAAAGGAAATGAATTATTGAAAAAATTATTTATAGTATTTTAATAATTTAAATATATATATATATATCAATCTCAGTGCATGTCTAGATGAGCATAGAACAGGATGGTGCAATCATTCTGTGTTTCGTCCTGTCACTTAACAGAATATGACATAGCCCTGTTTGTTTTTACATAAAATTTTATTTAGAATTTTTGTCGTAATACGTATTGTCATCAATTATGCTTGATGTTTACTGTAGAGTTCTGCAGCCCGATCCGATACACGGGTAGATGCAAGTTACATGGTACTATGTTGATTAAATAATCTAGGTAAATTTTGAAGAATTTGCTGATATTTTCTACAAGAATAATAAATTCTGATATCGTTTTACAACGAATGAAGTTCTCTCGATGCCATTTATATAAACGTAGGTTTCCATGCTTTTATAAAAATTTTAGAGTTTATGGAATAATCATATTCGAAGAAAATAGCTAATCGAGCTCAAGTTAACTAAAGATCTTCGGATCGAATCGGATGCGAGTTTCAACAGTTGAACCCATGCAGGACTCTAGTTTACTATGAGTTTCACGCATCACTATTGAAATGAAAAACAGCGCTAAGTTTAACATTGATCGATATGAGTATTCAATTAGGAATAGAAATTAAATATACAGGATGGTCCAAAAGTAACCGAGCAGTCTTTGATTGCGAGTAACTTTTGATAAAAACAAGATACACAGCTGCGATTTCCACCATTCGAAAGAGGAGATGAGGATGCATCGAATCATATATTATAAGTTTTTCTAAGATGTTTTCTAGAGTTTTCTTAATCAATTTGCTAAAAAAATTGTCGGAAAAATGGTTTCTTATAAAATAAGAAAAACGCAAAAAAATAATTTTTTTACAGAAATTAATAGAAAATCGGTTCAGAATTTTGAGTAGAATACCTATAACTTCTGAAGGAATAACTATCAAAGTCTGGGATTTGCACAGTTTTGTAAGTTTTCGACTAACGGTTCAAATGCACATCTGATCATAAAAAATTTAGTGTGGTCACTTTACAGAGTACGTCGGTTTAAGTCTTTTAAAAAATTAAATCAAATTATCTCATATTAAACAGTTCGATGCGTGTTTATCTTCTCTTTCAAACGATGAAAACCGCAGCTCTGTATCTTGTTCCTATCAAAAGTTATTCGCAACTAAAGACTACTCGATTAATTTTGGACAACCCTGTATATGTACAAAAGATTTGCAAAGATTGTCGTCTTTTCTCGACGTTAGACTAGAGTTGCACTATTTGAAAAAATTATGAAATAAGTTAGTTACAAGATGGTTGACAAGTCTTCTGCATGTTTTCTTTACTCGAAATTTAAACGAGGTGTCATGTTTGTCCTCTTGTTATGTTCTGCCTTGTCCTGTCTGACAGGACAGGACGAAGATTAACTATATGACAAAACAGAAAAAGTTGTCCTATGCTCACCTCTGATAAGAACATGACCAAAGTATAGTAATATTCTCAAATACACATTTGTTTATTTCATAAGATATTATAATGGATAAAAAAAAACGTGTTTTATAATGAAACAATAACTTTTGTTCTTAACTAACTATTTAACATGACCAATTATCAATATCTACTATCTCTATTTCTTAAATTATATCTCTTAGTTTCAATGAAGTCTACACTATTATATTGACTTGAATCATTGTCAAAATCAATAAAACAAGATATAAAAATAAGTACTCCGAGATCACTTTTGACGTAAATCAAATTATCTCTCTATAAAACAGTCTTACCCTTACAGACCGAAGATCAATTTTGTTTACGTTGATAAATAAGTATAACCAAATAAAATGTGAAAAATATAATGTTTATAAACGCTTGTGTAAATATGACGTTGCATATGATAAAGATAAGGTACCACATCAGAAAGCATTTGTCAAGTCAAATAAAACAAAGAAGAGAATACTTGTTATTGTATCTGCTACTAAAAATATTTCTATTAAAAGTCTTAACAGATTGATATATATGACATTGAAAATAGTAAGTGTACATTTACTAAAATTAATAATAATCAATAAATAAATATTTTACAAGAGTATTTTCAAAAAACTACGTAGTACGAAGAATTATTGTTTGATTTCTTAGCAAATAATAACTAGAAAATAAATGAATACCAAGGGCAATTTTGAGTGTATGGATGAAGGTGAAAACGAAACTAACAAAAGAACTATCCGAGATGCTAAAAATCTTTTCGGTTGAACATATGATGGTTATATAAAGTATAGCTAGGAGTGAATTCAATTATTCAAGATCTTTTTGGATATAAATCTATATGTGTGTATTTTTGTGAATATCTAAACTTCAGATATTCAACTTTCAAGTTTTGACTTATATGAAAATTCAATAATTAATTATTAAATCGAAATATTTATACAATAGAAATTGTTTTGATTAATAAAATTTATTAAGTCAAAAAAAAACAGAATACAAGAGAAAAATATTCTCTTTGAAAACAAGAGAAACATTAGTAAACACATATTCTATAATGGATACCAAGCAGCAGGTTTACATGATTCAATTCCAAAAACTAACCAAAAAAATGCATAACAAATTAACATAAAAAAATATAAAATATTCGGTTGTTTAACCCATTTAGCTTTTAATATGATTTCTTTTGCTTGTATTGGTTTAGCATGTGGTCCACATAAACGATAATGTGCATTTAATAGTGGTCCACACATTAATTTTATCCATAATTTTGGTTCTGTAAAAAAAATTCTAGTAAAATTAGGTCGACAACCAATTGTTCTTGATAAATCATCTGAATAAATTAAATAATCAGTTAAACTAGTAATACGATTAACACGATAAGGTGTTAATTGCCATTCTAAATATTTAACATATTTAGAAATTTGTTTTAACATATCAGATTTTGTTGGTAATTTTAATTTATTTGAACATAATAAAGCAAACCAACGTGCTTGAAGTTCCATTAATGGTGGAATAGCACCTAATGCAGGTCGAGCAAATCCAATCCAACATATTTCATCACCAAAATCTGGATGTATACAATGTTTATATAAATTATGAGAAATTTTTGCTTCATTTACAATACGTTTTAAATTTGAATCAGCTTGATCACTTTGTTCTATAAATGGAAATGAATTTTGAAATCCAGTACAACAAATTATTTCATCAACATATTCTTCAGAATTATCTTCAAAAATAATTGAATTTGTTTTTAATTCTTTTATTCCAGATTTTCGAAAACATTTATCATTATATTTAACTAATGCTTCAACTAAATTTGAATTTTTTGTTCCAAATGTAGTCCATACATTACTTGTTTTTATTTGTTTTAAATTCATATAAATTCCAGCTCTTCTTACTTTATCATAATCGGTTGATTTACCTCTTTGATAAATTAAACATTTCAAATATGATTTTATTAAACTATTAATCATATCGATATAGGTATGTAAAACTCCCCATGCACGTGGAATCGAATGATGAACACGTGATGTATCCAAATCAGCTGGTCCATATCGATCTCCATGAATATATCTTGGAACAATAAATCCATGATCATTTCTTATAGATAAAAAAGCTTTTTTTCCAAATTGTGCAGCAGCTAATATCATATCACTAGCTGATTCTCCACTTCCAACAATACAAACTTGTTTATCTTTAAAGTCTTCATAAAATTGTATATGTTTTAAATGTTTAATTTTTCCTTGAAATAAATGTTGATTTTTAAATATTGGCATATTTATATTTCCATAAACTCCACAACAAATTGCAATACGATCAAATGTATAAATTTGTTGATCGTTATTAAGAAGAATTTTCCATTTATTTTCTGAATAATCTTTCCATAAAGATTTAACTTCTGTTTGAAATTTAATAAATTCTTTTAAATGAAAATGTTCAGCATAATCATTTAAATATTGTGAATATTCAATAAATGATAACATTCTTGGTTGAGAAAGAATATTTTCATCATTTCCAATAAAATCACCAAACATAGTTAATAAATGACTTGATACAAATATACCCTGTTGATATGCTTGAGTATATAAACCACCAATAGAATTTGATTTTTCAAAAACAGTACATTGATGACCTTCTTCTAATAATTCTTTTAATGTAACTAAACCACTACAACCAGATCCAATTATTCCAACATGAACTTGTCGAATATTCTCATCCATTTTATATTTACCTTAAATAAAAAATTTCTATATTAAGGAAATTACTTTCTTTTTTTTTCTCTTAAAATGATAAATATATTTGTTTTTGTCTATATTATTTGAATAATTTAAGATAATTGTACAATTTTTACCTTCGTGATTTATGTTTTTCTTTTTTTTTTGAATTTGTATATAGACGATTAAATTATGTTCTTATCAATTTGAAGATGAGACGATAATTGATTTATCTAGAAATTTTCATAGAAAAATTTATTAAATAAAACCTACATAGATTAGTATCCTGCATGGATAGTACGATTTTTCGTATCCAATATTCGATCGGAACTAATCGACATCCGACAGATGCTTTCAGAGTTATAGTATCAGGTTGTGCATAACTTTTTGCTAGGAGAATAGTGCTATGATTTCAAGTTAAATATCTAATGAATTTTATACTAAATTAAAGACCGTCAAAAATTGGATTGATTAGTACTAAATAGTAAGAGTTATCAAAATACTTTAGTGTTGAAGTTACGAAATTTTATCCTTTTTTTAGCATAGAAAATTAGGGCACTAGCAATGCAAATATAGAGTAAAATATTTTCTTTTGGTATTTTTACATGGTTCGATAGGGCCCGTCGAGCTCTACAAAACTATATATATTAAAAGTTTCTTGAGCCATTTTTCTGAGATAAAAAATCTAAAAAATGACTTGTAAAATCCTAAAAAATCTTTAAAAACTCGGTTTTTTTTTTTATTTGGAAGAAAAACACTCGATTTCTTCGATAAAATTAACTTTTTTCGTTATTTTTACTTACAAAGACGCTTCGAAATATACTCATCCGATACAGCACGAAAAATTGCGTCTAATGAGTATATCTCGAAGCGTCTTTATGAGTGAAAATAATGAAAAAAACTAATTTTATTGAGAAAATCGAATGTTTTTCTTCCCTATAAAAAACTGCTGGTGTCCTAATTTTCTATGCTAAAAAAGGGTAAAATTTCGTAGGTTCGACATTAAAATATTTTGATAACTCTTACTATTTAGTACTAATGAATCCAGTTTTTAACGATCTTTAATTTGGTATAAAATTCATTAGGTATTTACCTTGAAATCATAGCGCTACCCTCCTAGTAAAAGGCTATGCACAACCCGGTACAGTTTTCAAAGCTTTATTTCATATGCAAAAGTATACTGTTTAGTTTCTTTCAAAAACCGCAATAAAAAGAAGAGATCATAATAAAACAAGTGATTCTCATTTACCTTCATATTATACTCAAATGTACGGATCAATAAGATTAGAATAATATCCAAAGAACTCATATTCTTATTGAGATTTGCCTGATATTATTGAATTTTTCATCTAGAAGACCAGTTTTGAAGTAAAATCATATTTTAGAATTCCGATTTGAAACTTTATCAACTTGAAGGTCTTGCTTAGATTAGTTCATGTATAGGGTTTCATCACTTTTGGACATTGCATCTCTAATGTATAAGAATCTTTCAAAATATCTATGCCTTATAGTATCTGAAGACAAACGCTGTTGGTTTGAAAGATTCATATATCGGAGATGCAATGTTTAAAAATCATGAAACTAGGGGTATGGATGTCCATGAGAAATAGAACATCACTCAAATCTATTTAAGAAAATCAAACAAAATAAATTTCAGTAGTAAAAAAAATATTTTTTTATTAGAATATTTGTTTTGAGAATATAAAATATATTCTGATTTCTTTTCTGGATAAAATACCTCCTTTTATCATATTGAAACAAACACAAACGAATTGAATCTGCATAGATTTTATATGTCTTACTTCACAATTTTTTTTCTTATCTTCTTTTTTTTTATGATGCAATAAAACTACTTGATAAAAGTGAACAGTTGTTTCGTTTATTAATCGACTAATCAATTGATAATGACTTAACCAATCAAATAAATATATCGTTTTAATATTTTAATTTTTTTTTTTTAATATTAGTTCGAAATTCAAAATCTTTCTAGATCAAATATTTTAATTTATTAAAAAACAATTTTTTTTTAATTTTATTTTTCAATGATAACGAAATCAAATGAAATAAAAATTTAAAAAACCTTATTAAAAAAAAAAATCTCGACTATTTAATAAGAAAATGCTAACCTTGTTGATAAATTGCTTGAGAATATTTCAAGAAAACTGACAAAAAAAAAATATATATATATATCGGTGACAGATATTCTAGAGAATAAATACATTTGTAAAAAGAATAAATCCATCGTACATGATAAAAGAACCAATGAAAACACAACGTACTATGTCATTTATCGTCTAGTACAAACGGATGACATCGAAGAAAAGAAAGAAAAATAAAGAAACATATTTGAGTAAGAACGTACTTTTGGGATAATGAATATCTCTTTATTTTTTGTTGACGATTATTACTCACATTTATTTAATTAAATTTTAAAAAGAGTGAAAATTCAATATTAAATAAGAAGACAAAAAACAAAAAAAAAGAATTTATTCAATATTTTGTATTAATGCAACTTATTTATTTTCAAATAAAAAAAATTCAAAATAAATTGATTTTTTGTTTTATTTTGCTTTGTTAATAAACGAAAAAAATGTTCCATATCGATAAAGTGATCTGTTATTAATCGTCGAATTAGATTAGCATTAACGGATAAGGAAGATAACTCGTTCTTTTTCTATGATCTCAGATAAGGATTGTAGTTGATCATTGAATTGTAATATTTGTTATAACTAATCTCAATTGAAAATCTTTGTTTTTGCTTTTTCATTAAAAAAAAAAACAAAACGTTATCCTATTATCTCTTTTATAAATATTTGATTTAAATCTTTGAAGATTTTCTTTTTATTTGTTGATATATTTCATAAAAATGAAATTTTCGAAGAGAAATTATTTATTAAAAACATACCTTGAAAATATTCGAAGAAGGGAAAAAAGCTTTTTTAAGAAAATCAATTAACTGAATTGTAAAATTTTTACTAAGAGTTTAAATAGAATTTTATTTCAAATTCTTAGTACATTAATTTTCGTCTCTGTTTTCTTTATGAAAAGATAAAAACATGAAGCATCATAATGATAAGGTACTTTATATGAAGATAATTTTATTGTTTTTGCATGGTCATTTGACGTCAACTTGTTTTTATTCAATATAAATACTTCTGTTTATCATCATGATCAATGAAATTTGTCAAAGAAATATTTTAATAGAATTCCTAGATGACGTCAATAAAACCGTTGTTTTTCTATTGTTGTTATATATAATTCAAAAAATATTTTATAATGAGAATAAAAAAAAAAAACATTAGTTTTATTAAATAAAATATCTAAAATATACAACGAATTGAATAACAGGTAAATAATTTTTATTAGTAGTTTATTTTATTTTTCTCAAGAATTTATTTAGAAAAAAATATTTTAATTAAATCTTTTATCTATAGTCCTGGTGAAAATTATACAATCACTTATTCAAATCGAGTTTTAATAATTTCTATACTCTTATACGAAGAAAAATTGTTGTCAATACATGTATTTGGATGTACTTTGTCTGCATATGAAATTGGATTTACTTGACACAATTGTGAGGCTGTATGAAACAAATGCTTCTTATAACCTGTCAATTTTTACGCAGAGAACTTGATTCGGAAGGTTTTCATAAAAGCTGTTTTTAGTTTGAATTTATTATTCAAATCAAAATCATTGAAAAATACCTTCCAAATTCCGTACTTCAGCTAGAATTATAGAAATTGAAATGGAACTGTTTTTTTTTGTAGTATGAATTCGAATAGAAGACAGTTTTAGCTAGAAAATAAGACATCAGAAAGCTCCGGATGTCTTTTTGTTAGGAAGATAGGTGCCATATCATAATATGCACTACTCAAGTCAGTTCGTAATGCGTAAGAAATACTTTTATTCCTTCTTAAACACTACGAATCAGACACTTGCGAAGGCGTGAAGAATTGAAACCATTCGGACGTAATATTCAAGAAGGAATGAAAATGTTTTTTATGCATTAAAAACTGATTTGAGTATAAAGTCCAATCAAAAACAGCTTTTATGAAAACCTTTCGAATCAGATTCTCTATTTCTCAGCATTAGTTTTGAGTCAAACTGATATCAAGTGCAAAAAAACAGAATAAAAATGTAATATTGATTTTATGAGTTTTGTCAGGCAAAAATCAATAGGTCATGAGAAGTATCTGATTCATTATAGCATTACAACTGTGTCAATAAATTTAATTTCACATGCAGATAGAGCATATCCAAATACATATATATTTACATCAATTTTTCTTCGTATAAGATTATAGAAATTGTGGAAACTTATCAAATAAGTGATTCTATAATTTTAACCAGGATTGTATTTTATTTAAAAAAAGAATTCTTCAAATTCGAATATTTATTAAATATTATTTAACTAATAAATAAATTTTATTTTAGATAAATAAAAAAATGAATTTAATGGATAGTTTAATATCATTTTTCTACACAACATTATTATATTTACGTGCTGTTTTTAGTTTAATGACACCTGGTACACTGATATGGAAATTATTTCAAAATCGTAAAGGAAAAATAAATTTAATGAGTAGAGATTTAATATGTGATAGTGAAACATTAATTAATCTTCCTAAATGTGGAAAACCATTAGATGGTTTTACAAATGCATTATGTCCATTTATTCCAACATTTCTTATGAATAATGATAAATATTGGAAACAACGACGTAATATTTTTTCTTATGCTGATGCAATAATTAATGAAAGAATATTTGAAAAATCTTTTCATTTTAAATTAGAAACTAAAAAAGGAAATATTCTTTGGGATATATTTGAAATAATATCAAAAATTTCATTTGAATTAATGTTTAATCGAATTCCAACAGAAAATGAATTTAATGATATTTATCCTGGTTTACTTGATATTAATAAAATAATAAAAAGATTTACATCAACACCAGATTTACAAATACGTCAAAAATTTTATGATCAAACATTAATGTTAATTAAACAAAATGATAAAGATTTTGTATTTAATAATTTTACAGATTTTTATAATATGGATGAAATTCATCAAGTATCATCAGTAGCTGAAGATTTTTTAACAACAATATCAGTTCAATGTACTGATCTTATTTGTCATATGCTTCTTTTATATTCACAATATCCAAATGATTTTCATAATGATATTGAAAATTCAATAAATGAAACACTTCGTTTATATCCATTAACTGATTTATGGACAAGACCATCATATGGAAAACATAGAGGATGGATTGCATCATTAGTACAATTAAATAGAAATGGATGGATACAACCAGATATGTTTATTCCTCAACGATGGCATACAAAAGATCATCCACCACTTATGTCATGGGGTTTTGATATAAGACGATGTCCAGCTCAAAGAATTGCAACAAATATTTCTAAATTAGTTTTTGAACATATAATTAATGAAGAAAATTTTTGGATAAAACCTGCAAAAAATTTTCAACATGAAAGAACATTTCCATATGGTTGTCAAGCTTGGATTGGATATGGACAAATACCAGATGATGCTAATTCATGGAAATTTAATGGAAAATTTCAAATGCAATGTCGAAGATGGTTATGTGAAAAATTTAGAATGATCGATCAAAATGAATTAAATTAATTTTTTTTTTGTTTTTTGTTTTCATTGCACAATTTCATTTCAGTATTTTTTTTATATTCGTTATCAATTTTGAATATATGTACAAATTATTGAAGTTTATTCGGATTGAAATTCTATTAAGAATTTGTTTATTTTTTGAATAATTTCGATTTCGGTGTTAGTTTTAAGTCGAAGTTTCACAGTTCTTCTCCTCGTTACAAGTATTAGAAGCCGCGTACAACAGATGTTAAACTCCTCATCCGGAGTTAAGTAGCAACGAAAAAACATACTGTACAGCATGAACAACAAGACTTCGATTGATCTGGAACATTCCAAAGTTTTTGTCGAAATTTAAATGGCTAGAACATTTTTTTTTAATGTTCTTTATAGTGCAATTTCTGATTTTTGTATAAAAAATTTGTATTCAATATGTCAAGAATGACGAATAGTGATGCATTGATTTGCCATAGTCTCAATATGCTCATCATAAATAGAATGAATCCTCTCAGAATCGATTTACCACTTAGAACGGCTCGTTTTGGCTGAATGGTCCTAGTGAGAAATGCTTATAGTAAAAATTTCAGCTTGATATACCATAGTAGACAGAATTTTCGGCTTGTTTTTATAGCTTTTAGAAGAATAGAAACAACTTCATCATTATAAGAGGTACAGAGCTTGAATGGGTTTCAAATTAAAGCTAGCCTCTGTGCGCAACTTTCTATCAAACAAAATTTTGAAATTCCCTTTCATTCATTTTTTATTAGCATTTTAGTAAGCATGATGTTCAAAATAAGCATAAAAAAGGTAACTTTCTCAGTCCAGAAATCAACTATCAAAAATCCGTCCGATGAAAAGTTGGCTCTCATCCAAACCTTTAAAACAAAAATAACCATCGGTTATACCTCCTGAGTCAGATGAGCGTTATTTCAATTTTCCTGCGTAGAAACCAGGTTTTGAGAAAAACGCTAAAAAAGTTTTGAAAATGGATTTTTTCATTCAAATCCAGAAAAAGGTCATATTAAAATCGAATATTTTTAATACATTTCAATATAGCACATAACAGATGAAGATAGTTAACGTCATCTGTCATGCTGGTTAATATAAAAAATGTTCTATTCAATGCTGATGCCAGTGACAACGTAGTTTTCCGAAATAGAAAAAGTCTAAAAAAAGCTTGTTAGCGCAGCTCCTTTGGTGCTGAAATGTGGAACTCACATATATCCTTAAACCTTAATATTCTAATACATCATAGGTAAACTGAAAATTTTCTTGTACACTGTAGTTGTTTTCATTGATAATCAATGACGAGAACGAGATATTCTTATTTATTTCTACATTTAAAACAGGAAGTGTTTTTTGTTTTGTTTGAGAGCGTCCTATTTTTATTTTGCATTGTTGCTATTCGCTCATTATCTTTTATGTTTTTAAAATCATTTTTCTTAATTTAACATTCTTATTATTATAATCAGTGAATTAATTGGCAAACATGTCTGTTTTACATATCCATTATATCTACAGCAGATCTGATGCACTACTATATATATTAATCAACTCACAAACAATGATGTTGATTATCTTTCAAAATTACAACTTGATCAATTTTTCAATAAAACTAGAAAGTCTGACGCCTGTTATTCTTAATTACTAAGGTCTGTAATGAAGACCTGTCTGTAATGTTCTCTTTCTCCGTTGCTATGGTCTATAATGGGGGCCTGTCTGTAAGGGGAGGGGGAGCCGCCAAAACTTGAACTTAAAACTTACACTCATCATTTTCTTCGAAAATATATGTGAGTTCCACAAAAAACTATGCACATTTCTTCGAAAACATGGTGGTAGGATCGAAGTTTCGTCTGATAAGTCTATGAAAATCTAGTCGTTTTGCCAAAAAATTAGATGCATTCTGGAAGATGAAGCTGCACTGCATCTTCCAATCGATGTTCAATAATAAAGAGATACCTAAAATATTGAATCAAAAATTCAAAATTGTATATGACAATGATGAAAGACTTATAAAAGCGAAAATAAAAAATAAATCAAACGATAATGAAAATAATCGATCAATTTCATTTGAAACAGCACTTATTGTATAATAATCTATACTTGCTAAGATAAAAACTACAACATATACAGTTTATTCATCTAATTTACTAATTCGAGAACGAATTACTAGAATTGTTACAAAAAAAAATTATCCAATACAAACAACCATTCATCAGTATGAAAAGACTATCTGTTCGTTTAGTTATTATCCATGTAAATAAAATTATCATTAAAATAGCTGTACGAATTTTAATAACAGTAAGAATTCAAACTCGAAAAGAATCAAAACAAAAAGATGAAACATGATCCAATAACATAACAATAAAACCTAAATGAGTTACAACATTCTTCGTTGTTTAATTAAATATACTTTTAGAATGTTTTTTAACAGGTGCAAGTTTTACTTAAGCTAATTGTTGAAACATATTTAACTTTTGTGCTTTAACATTTAATTCAAATTTAAAAAAAACAATAAATCCAAAAAGACTTAATCCCAATGCTATTAACATTGGCATTATCAAATAATCACTTTTAAGATAAATGCCTAATGTTATCAATAGCAAAATATGACTACAAGTAATGCTTATATCCTCTTATTATAGTTGCTGTTGTACAATCTGAAACATAGGCAAATGCACATAAACTTGCTGCATTACACATTCCATCAAACATTACAGATAGGAATTATACATCAATCAGATAAATTAGAATATGTTACACTTATATAACGAGAAATTTTACCAATAAATGGTAAAGCAATTCGAAATTTTCGACCAATTCAATCGCAATTAGCATCTCATATTATTATTGCATATATTGTTGCTGCAATATAAATATAAACGTGCTGTAGCTAAATCTGATAATAATAAAGATTTTCTACTTTCATTCTGTTTCTGATGACGTTGAATTGACTTGAAGGTGTATGTGTGTGTGTGTGATGCATACTGAAGCATCAAAAGCATTGTCATCAAATATTAGATAAGATAAAATTTTTGAAAGCAATGACATTCCATTTTTTTTCATTATCAACATGAGAATGAAATATCTCGTTTGATAACAAAAGAAAAAAAAGAACAATGAATCAAGTCGAGATAGTATTTACAAATTATCTGATATCAGACGAAGAAATTCATGAATGTTTGAAAAGTTCTTTGAGGACAAAATAATTTATCAATATATAAGAAAAAAAAATATATATACTTAATATCTATCGTAAGACTTAGTTTAAATTCAATTAATTTCTTAGACTAATCTTCAAAAATTTTTTGTTATTCGATCAACGATGGAATATAATATAGAATTGCATGTTATGTATAATAATATATTGAGTAAAATTATTACCAATAATTTTCACAAATCCAAAGGTTATAGTTACAGTGAACGAGTATAACAGCTAGAAATCTCAATAGTCAATATAGAATTTTTCTTTAAAATTTTAATTTTGAATCATATATAAAAATTACGAAAAATGAAAACTTTTGTTTAATGACATAAATACAGAAAATAATTAAATAAAATAAATTATTTTTCATTCAATGAAATTTTTATACATTTTTTTTTTATTGAGTTTCAATTTCTAGAAAAACTACATTGTCAATTCAAAAAAAGAAAAAGAAAAATCTCGAATTGATTTCGAACAATAAAAAGAAAATGAATCAGAAATATTTATAATCATTAATTAAATATATCTTTGAAAAAATCTTCAAATAGTTATTAAACAGATCGAACTTTTCACATGATGACGTTTCGTTTCTCTTCTAAATGCTTTGTCATTATTTGTCACGAGAATATCTTATTGTTGACGTCAACATTGACAATATTCTTTTTTTTGTTTTTTTGTCATAGCAAATAACATAAAAATAATCTTTCTATCATTTATGTCTCACTATTGACTTATAGACTTCCTTATTTTTTAATCTATTAACTAGATTTTTTTTGTTTTATAGAATATCTTAAATTAGAAAAAAAGAACAAAGTTAATATGAATAAGATACTTTTCATCAATGATTGCGCAATTTTAATTTATAGCAAAAAAAAAAAATTTTCTTTATCTATTTCGAATTTATAAATTGTTAATTATTTCTAATACAATGAAACTTATTAATATCATTTGACATAACTTTCAACAAAGAAAATTAACAGAATAATTTATTTAATTGAGAGAAATTTGAAATTAACAACGAATTTTTGATTCTATATCTAAAAGATATTTCATTTATCTATGGATAATCTTCCTGTTATCATATTTTAAATAAATTAAGAAAAAATTTATTCAATGTTGAGTTTCTTAGGGTGCAAATGAACAAATGATCAACATCGATACACTGTCACACCTACATCCATACCCTGGGTGTCGATATCGACGAAGATAAGATGCGCAGGTACAATGACACCCTTCTGAATAAGATTTAATTGAAATTGCTTTTTTTTTGTCTTCATTTATTCCGAGATGAATATCCATTTGAAATTATAAAAGTAAATTTCTTTCGATTATATTTTTTATTAAAATTTGAATTGAGAATTTTTTTTGTGTAATAAAATCGAAACTGAAATCTAGGAATATCGAAATTCATTCTCCTCTAAATGATAAGATTACAAATGAAAAAAAGTCTATATGTCATTATGACGACAGATGTTTGTGTGAGCTGTCTTTATATTTGACACCGTCATCATTTCACAGACAGATTTTTGAAAGTTGCTTTTTTTTTCTTTCTTTGACTACGGATGACAATAGTCTCCCACAATATATATATATGTTGTAGTCAAAATTAAAATTCAGTCAAATTTTAAATTTGACTAAATTTTCTGGGCAAATTTTAAATTTGGCTGATTTTTTGACTAGGCAAATTTTAAATTTGTCCAGATGATTCGTCAAATTTTAAATTTGACTGAATTTTAATTTTGACCACAACATATATACTCTCACCAAACACTTTTTATTCTATACCTATGAAAATGACAATAAAATTGTCGTCGATTTAAAAAGAATTATGTATATTTATCTATTATTGGTTAATTTAATAAATGAATTTAATGAAATTGTTTCAACAGCAAAACGAATGGTATATAATCCAGTCAGGATGATTTTAAATTTTCTTTGGATTGTAATTACATTTCAAGAAAATAATTGGATTGAAGAAAGAAAAAAATTAGCTGAACAAGATCTCAATAAAACAAATGATGAAATGCCAAATGAATTCATTCAAGGAATGGCTGTAACGGTACGTTTTCTTTTCTTTTTTTTATTTGATCTTTTTTACAATATCTACTTAACCGGTAATTCATAGATTTTTAAATAAGATTTCATAGACGAATATTTTTCATTGGATTTTATATTGTCTAGGTTCTATTTTATTGAATTTATAAAAAAAAGAACCTCTTTGATCTAAAAGAAAATATTTTCAAATCTAGAACTTTATAAAATAGGAATCATTTGCAATTAACTGAGAAGAATAAATGGAATTGTTAATCTTTTATTTTGTGTGTAAATCATTTTCGAGCTATAAGCTCAAGTGTAAGGTATTTTTATCTTTCGAGAGATTTATATGAAAACTAATTTCTAATATTATATTCAAGTAGTGTATTTGATAGAAAAGAAAAATTTTATTAATAAATTAATCTTGTTAATATTAAATTCATACGAAAGAATTTCATCTTGAAGAATATTTATTGAAAAAAAAATGAGAAAAGAATAATATTAATATAATTGAAATATATAGAATTAGAAAAATAACAATAACAAAAAATATTGAATAACTATTTTTAATATTTCTATTAAAAAAGAATTTTTATGATCAGTTTTAAACAAAAAAAAAAGAACAAAATATCGATTGATCATTTTGAATAAAAATTCTTTTGATTTTAGGCTCAAACATGTCCACCATCATTAATTGTTCGTTCAGCATTGACATTACAATTTTGGATATTTTATTGGAAATTAGAATATCGACGTCTTCAATTATCAAAAACTCTTCCATCATATCTTACAGACGTTAATCAAACAGTTCCAAATTCAGCTAAAATAATTCCAGTCCTAACAGAAAATATTAATGTATTCAATAATGAACATTTTAATATTGAAACAATTAATTTACGTTCATTAATAAAACAAGGACGTCATCTAGTTGTTAATTTCGGTAGTTGTACATGACCCCCATTTCTGGCAAGTTTAGAATCTTTTATTCAACTTGCACAATTTTATAATGATCGTCAGTATCCTATTGATTTTATAATAATTTATATTGAAGAAGCACATGCGTCAGATGGATGGAAATTTTATGATTCTCGATTTAGTTTTATTAAAAATCATCGAAATATTCAAGATCGATTAGATGCTATTAAAATTCTTATAGAAAAGGCAAATATTAATACAGAAAATCAAATTTCTGTTTATGCTGATACAATGGATAATCATACAAATAATTTATTTCGTGCATGGCCTGAAAAACTTTATGTTTTACATGATGAAAAAATTGTATATCAAGGTCAAAATGGACCAAGTGGATATTCAATTCCATCTTTAGATTATTTTTTAAGAAAAAATGTACCTGTTCAGATATAGATTTTTCGATTGTTTCTTTTTTTATTTTTCGTTATTCATGATGATTTGTATTTAAAGTGGTTTTATACCAAAGATACAAAACTGAGATTTTTTTTTCAGAAAAATAAAAAATATGATCGAACTTATCAATAACAATGAATCTCTTTTTTTTTGTTATGCAAGAAAACAAATTAGAAATTGAAAAAGTTTCAAAATCGAATTAATTTCTATTAGAGATCATAGTTCTTTTATGAAAAACAAAAATTATTCGAAAAAAGTTCTTCGGACATGGTTCAAACGTGAAAGATGATAAAAAATATCCACATTAATAGAAAGACATCTTTCATAAATCGATTGTGATTCATATACAGACAGTATTTTAGTTAAATCTAAATATTTCTAGCAATTCATCAATGTGACTAGTAGACTTCACTTGGACACGAAACGACAAAACGGACCCGGTCAAACTCATCACACTCACAAGCCCTTTCTCACATCGCACTGTCATCCGACGCTCTTTCCTAGTCCACTTTCCCTGAAAAAGTACCTGGGAAGTTTAGAGATTTCTCAGAGAGTCTCCAAAAAAATCTAAGAAGCGTTAAAGTTGACCAATACACTTTTTTCACAATAATTTTACCTTGCAGTTAACATTTTATCGACTGAAATCTACAGTCGGGGGCAAAAGTTTAAATGAAATTAGTTTTTCAGTATTTTTTTTTTGCATATTATGAAATACGGATCTGATCTAAATGGTGACATAGATATTACGAGAGGTCGGCTACATGATATATTATAGAACGAGACTCCATCTGCCTATATAGATTTTTCATTATTAAATTTTTTTTTTTCATGCAAAAATAGATTTAAGTGCTTTCTAGTATTTCGCATTTCCTAACCAAGAGAGTTTTTTTGAAATGAAAAAAAAATATATCAATCAACGGAGAATTTCACGCTCTATCAGTTTATAAAAAAGATTTTTTCCCAGAGTCGATCTTCACTTCCAAAACCTGGTTTTAGTGAGAATAGTCAGCAAAAATCGAAAAGGTAAAATCACCTTTTACAAATTTCTACAAACTCCTTCTCATCACAATGTTTTATACACCATTGGAAAGAGCATTGAAAACTGAACAAAATCTTGTATTTGAAGTTCGAATATCAACGTTTTTCTCGTCCATCTTTCTGAAATAAAGTTTTGAGACACGCAACTATCTTTTCTTTTTTAATTATATCACCGGGAGAAAAAGTCCATTTTTTGCTGACTGTTCTCACTAAAATCGGATTTTTAAGGCGAAGATCAACTCTAGAAACAGAATCTTTTTATAAACTGATAGAGCGTGAAATTCTCCATCGATTGATATATTTTTTTTTCCTTTCAAAAAAACTCTCTTGGTTAGGAAATGCGAAATACTAGAAAGCACTTAAATCTATTTTTGCAGGAAAAAAAAAATTTTAATTATGAAAAATCTATATAGGCAGATAGAGTCTCGTTCTATAATACATCATGTAGCTGGCCTCTTATACTATCTATATTACCGTTTGAATCAGATCTGTATCTTATAATATGAAAAAATAATACTGAAAAACTAATTTCACTTAAACTTTTGTCCCCGACTGTACTTGATAGAAAAACATTTGTCTTTTTCTAAAAGAGTCTTCCATTTAAATCACTCAATAGGCCTTGTCTCAGTTGATGAATTCCTCCGATCAAATATTAGCTCGCTTTAAAACGATGAGCTATCGCTGACGAGGACTTAAGTAGAAGTCTAAATGATATTCGTACATTCCCTCATAAATCTCCAAAAAGTTTCTGTAGAATCAATGGGAAGTGTCCAATGACTCTCTGGATACTCATCATGGATTTTACATTTTTCAGGGAGGCTTCCCGAAAATTTTGCTGGCGAAAATGGGCTAGGATCGAAATTGCTGTGCGCATCGTTCGGGATCCCATCGTATTCTATGGAGAAAGGAGATTGAACAAATCATATAAACATGACATTTTCCGTTCGATTTAATAATATTTTAATGGTATAATCAATAGTTTCTCATATTCTTATTATAGAATTGAATGAAGTTAATCTTCATCTAATTTCTTTCTATTAAATAACAAATTAGAAATATGTTTCTCCTTAAAATATAAAAAACAAAATAATAATATTAAAATAAAAATGTGATGAATTATTTAAGATCTTTAATAATAATACAAAATTTTTCGATTTATACACAAATTAAACTTTCAGATCAATTTCAATAAATTTATAAAATTTGAATGCATTGTTTTATGATCGAAATTATTTTTATTTTTTGTGTATTAAAATGAAATTATTCTTTTTTTTAGCAATATCACAGATAAAGACTTAAGTAAATAGAATATTCATTTATCTGTCTTTTTTTTCTCATTCGTTTTCACATAGATATAAAGCAATGAAGAAAAGAAGAATCATATAACGATATCAATATGAGTCGACAAAAAAAGAACCAGCTTAACAATAAAAGAAAATCGAATTTTTATCTTTTCATAAGTGAAGGACAATTGTCATAGTATTCAAACTCAACGAGAAACCACAAAAACGGTGATGTATAGTAGAATTGTGTTTTTTTTCCTTAGTAACCTTTTTCTTATTCCAGTACTGATTTCAGCATAGTACAGAGAATAAGTTTGTTCTTCTTTAAAGGAGAGGGGAGATGGCGTTGTTAATCAGTAAAATAAATCCTCTCTCGAAATTGAGTTTCTTATTTCTTGAACACTTAATTCAAATGTCAGGAGTCGATTGCCGTCTGAGTTCGACAGTTAGATCTCATTGTGGCTGCATGCGACTAATTCCAAACTCGAAATTATCGATTTCATATAGTGTTATGCTATGGAGTATTTATATAGAAAGTTTACCACTGTTCTTTAGCTTCTTTAATTTGACTTATATGTCGAGGGTGGAATGTGGATCTTTTCTTTAATCACATCCAAGTGTTTTGTTTTCTAATAGTATCGGCAGTATAGTGTATCATCATTGCTTTTCAATATTGTTTTTCTCTTAAACGCGGGATGATGATTTTCTCGAAAACATTGTCTGCTAGAAAGTATGTTCAAAAAGGCTTGAAGTTACCCATACGGTGATACTTAATGATGCATTAGGATTATCGTATACAATGACCGTACGACATCGTAGGACATTAGCTGTCTCAATATGTTAACGTTTTCTGAAACGATCGTCGTTTCCTATCGTATTTATTTGTAAACAGTCGTTCTATTTGAATAGAATGTACTACAGTTTGTAATTCTTTGCTTTTGTTCTCAGACATATCATTCGATACTATGTACATCTACGAATAGTTTCAACGCTTTTAGGCGCGTCAATATGAGTCTATAGTTTGAATTATAACGGTTTGTATATAAGAGTATAGCCAAAAGAATGTAGAACATAGGCTATAGATCTATGGGTATAGTTATAAGTATAAGGATTAGTTTTGAGCATATGGGTACAAGGACAAAACCATAAGGGTATTGATATATGTGTATAGATATAAATATAGAGGCATAGTGTTTAGTTATTAGTGATAAGGGTAAAACTAAAATGGTGTAGTCATAATTTCTGGTTGTTATAGTAAGGAAGGTAACATAATACATTGCTGCTGTTTCGATTTATATGAGTTGAACATGGTTAATGACGAGGACATAAGGTCGTTTATGTTAGCGCATACTGATGTATTGGTGGATATACCACCGTAATATTGTCTCCAGCAAACGACTGAAGTTACGATCAGTGTACGATATTACTAAACCATCTATGTTTTTCTTAATTTAATTGAATGATAATAACAAAATAAAATAAATAATGATTAATAATTTTAGATGTATCTCGGTTGGATTGATTATGGAGTTTTAGTTTTACTTTTGAGTAAAATTAATTCATTATAAATTTTTCTTTAAAAGAAATGATATTTTATTTAATAATTTATAGTAATATCGGGTGCTATTGGAATTTATCAAGGTTGTTTACGATCAAAAAAAGTATCAACACAAGAATTTCTTGTTGGTGATGGTCAAATGAAAGTAAATTAATTTCAAAGAAATTCCTTTTTTTTTTTTTTTTTAAAAAAATCTCTCTGAAAGATTTTACCAACAGCAATGAGTCTTTTAGCAAGTTTAACTTCTGCAGCATCATTACTTGGAATGCCTGTTGAAGTTTATTATTACGGAACAATGTTTATCTATTGTGGTATGTTGAAAAGAATTTTATTTTTATTTTTATCTAAAATAATTCAATTCTTTTTGAATTATTTATTTAAAAAAGTTTTTTCATGGTTGATATCAACATATATAACAATGAAATTTTTTATACCTAAATATCATTATATTGGTTGTGTCAGTATTTATGCTGTATGTATTTAAATAAAATAAATAATTTAATAATTAACTATAAATAATAGTATCTTGAAGAACGTTTTTCATTAACAATTCGTATATTAGTAACATCAAGTTATATCGTAATAACAGTAAATATAAATTGAAATAATCAATGCGCTATAAATAATGGCATCATTAATATTTCGCTTCTATTTCTCTTATTATCTTGATCATATGACTTTAATATAGTTTTGTTTACTGAATCATTTTTTTTTTGATAATTGAAAAGTAAAGATCTTGAAAAACTTAAGCGAAAAGGGTAAAAGCCTGACAAAAATCTTTCGAGACTGTAGATCTTCAGGCAATCAAATGATTTCCAAAACTGGCTCTATTACTCTTTCAACATCACTTGGACGTCCACGTACTGAAGGAGCGATTTAACAATAGGAAAAAAAAATATTTATGTTCCACACTCAATATGAGAACTGAACCAATTTAATCTTTTCTGATTCAGTAATAGTCGGTTCGCCTGTCGTAGGTGTAAATCATCCTTAAAAATTCGTTGAGTAGTTGTATTAAAGATTTTACATTTGATAGCTATTTTATGGGCAGACATTTTTTATTTTTTTTTAATGGTTACTTCAGTTTGAACTGTACGTGGACGTCCAAGTGGTGTCGAAAG